CGGCAGGCACCAAGCGTCGGGTGTTTATCATTGAAACCATGGGCGGCTACTGCGGCTACCTGGCCACCATGGCAGGACTGGCAGCCGGGGCCGATGCTGCCTACATTTTTGAGGAGCCTTTCACCATTCGAGACCTGCAGGTAGACAGCCACCCAGAGCCTACTAGGCCGCTCGCCCCTCCCCAGTCTGTCCCCACTGTCCCCACTGTGACCTGAGCTGCGGGAGCTCAAGATGAGGACGGAGCTGATCGGTCTGCGGGTTCCTGTGAGGAGGCTGGAAGGAGCGGGCATCGCCTGGTGTAACCACACACACAACCACGTGCCTGTTGGAGCATTTGTCTAGAAGGGAGGGTGCTGCTCAGCCCTTTATGAGTGTTTTTCATTTTACCTTCACAACAGACATGCAAGGGAGATATTATCTTCATATTACAGATGGGAAAGGTTTAGAGGTTAAAAACGTTCTAAACTCATAACTGATTGAGAAAGTTGGTGATCTTTCTACTACCCCACGCTGCCCTTTTCAGTTCCCCTTGCTACCAAAGTAGACTCTTCTCATTCCAGTTGTGAGGAGGGAATACCCTTTCGCCTCCAGGGTGAGGCTCTGAGCCCTCTTTCACAGAGGGACCATAAGATCCTTATTTTCCAAGATCCCAGCTCACTGGAGGAAAAAAAGTCACACAGGGAAGGGGGTGGCAGGCTGAAGGAACTCCTAATCCAAGACCCCCGCCAGCACCTGGCAGGAATGGAGGGTGGGACTCTTTCTCTCCTACCCCCAACTCAAAGCCCATGTGAAGGAACTGGTTCCTCCCGGGTGAACCAGTGCTGTACATACAAGCATCTCACTCAGAGACCGACACTGTGAGCACAGCCAGCCCTCTGAGGGAACCAGAAACCTCTAGAAAGTGAAATTGAGAGGGGGAGAGAGGGGGCCAAAAACTGGCAGTCACCACAGCTGTTCCAGCTTTCCTTCTTACAGCTCTGCCTGTCTCATGGGAGTCTTCCTTTACATGTCAGTCTGCACTGAGCTCCAGAAAGGAATCAGGCCCAGTGCAGGCCCAGGTGTAAACAGCTCTCCTCCAGGTCCTTCTCCCTCTGGGAGAGCCTGGTGGGGAAAAGGTCTCTGCACTTGCCCAGACTTATCCACTCCCATCCAGGCTCAGGATTTACTGTTTCATTTGCAGGCGAATGTTGAACATCTGGTGCAAAAGATGAAAACGACCGTGAAAAGGGGCTTGGTGTTAAGGTACCTCATCTACAGTTTGTTCCTAACTGAAGAGAGAATGGATTCATGGTTGGGGCACTGAGGAAGCTGTGGTTACAAAGGCAGAGACCCTGAACCACAGGAGGAGACAGAAGAGGGCAGAACAGAGTCTACAAAGGCAGAAAGGGGGTGCTGGATTGGGGAGACAGAAAGTCATGGGCATTTGGTCTCTACCTGGCAGGAATGAGAAGTGCAATGAGAACTATACCACTGACTTCATTTTCAACCTGTACTCTGAGGAGGGGAAGGGCATCTTCGACAGCAGGAAGAATGTGCTTGGCCACATGCAGCAGGTAGGGGAGACGCCCCAGTCTGCCCTTCACCAGACAGCCATACCCCACCAGCCTCCGATGTGCTGGAGGCTGTCAGTGCCACATAGAGGACGAGCCTACATTCTTGTTACAGGCAGAACCAAAACATCTTTACCCTGGAAACGGCCTTAGAGATTATGTGGCCCATTCTCTTCATTTAGGGCAGAGTTTCTCAGCCTCGGCACTGTTGCCATTTTGGGCAGGATGATTCATTGTCATGGTGGCTGTTCTGTGCATTGTAGGAGTTTAGCAGCATCGCTGGACTCCACCACGAGATGCTAGTAGCACCACCACACCGAGTTGTAACAAGTGAAAAATGTCTCCAGACATTGCCAGTGTCCCCTGGAGGGCAAAATTGTCTCCAGTCAAAACCCACTGACTGCAATGAAGAAAATGAGGCTCAAAGAGGGGAAATAATTTTTTCAGGGCCTTTCGTTTAGTTTGGATGAGAGCCAGAATGAGCTTAGTCTATTGTTCTTCCCAGCACACATTTCATGCGGAACCTGTGGAATGACTGCAGACACCTTGCTGCTGTTGGGCCCCATCTCCACTCACTGCGTTTCCAGGGAAAAGGACTTCCTTTCCCTTGTATTAAACATCCAGTCCCCACATTCAGTCCCCACCCAAAGCAGGCCTCACTCACTAATGGTACCAGTAGTCTGAGACCTCCCCCATCCCAAATGTCCCTAGCCGATGCTATGTAAGCATTGACCTTTGACCTTTCTCTACCCACAAATGAATTCCCAGTATCTGCTTTTGAAGGAGCTTCTCAGCCCATGCAGGAATGGGGTACTATTGTATTAAAGCATAAAATTACTGTTTTTCCTTCCCACTTTCCCACCTACTTTCTCTTAGATTTCAGGAAAAATCTACATGTTTGATATATTCTGAGGTGCTACCAAGGGCATCCAGACTGGGCCACAAGGAACACGCGGATGTCATTGACGACGACTGACAAAAGCTGCTAGGTTGAAGCGGGTGGGGAAGCAGCTGAGTGGCCAGCAACACGAGAAGTACATGAACAGGGTCTGGCAGCTGTGGCGCTAAAGAGGCCTTTGTGACACCAGTCACCCCTTTAACTAATTAGTAACTCTTATACCTGACACAAATGGCCAAGTGTGCTGGGCCAGCTCACCCTGGTTTCCAGGACTATCTCAGGATTTCCTTTCATAATTAGATTTCTGGGTTCCTCTTTCTGGCTCTAAACCTGGGGCCCGTTCTTTCCCCTTTCTCTGTGTGTTCAGGTATCTCTGCTGCTCAGTTAGAGTCCTTCCCTCTGTAATTTTTATTATTCTTTTTCTAGGGTGGGAGCCCAACTCCATTTGACAGGAATTTTGCCACTAAGATGGGTGCCAAGGCTATGAACTGGATGACCGGGAAAATCAAAGAGAGTTACCGTAATGGTAGGTGGGATAAGAGGATAAGGCCCCTCCACAGAGGCTGGCTCCCCACTACAGAAGCCGACTGACCATTCCTCATTGCAGGACGGATCTTTGCCAATACTCCAGACTCAGGCTGTGTTCTAGGAATGCGTAAGCGGGCCCTGGTCTTTCAACCAGTGACTGAGCTGAAGGACCAGACTGATTTTGAGTGAGTACATCTTTTTCCTGGAGTAGTTCCCTCCCTGGTAGTTTCAAGGTCTACTTTTCCCAGCCTGCTGACTGTCTTCAATCCTTGTCTTAGGAGTAACACCAGTAGTGGTACCTACTTAAGATCTGATACCCGTGCCCTAAATCCAGACTCTTTTGTTCAACTTCTTCCCATAAGCCTTCGATAGAAGCTGATAGCGCTGCTGAAAGATTAAATCATCATCTCATTCCTTTGTAGACACCGCATCCCCAAGGAACAGTGGTGGCTGAAGCTGAGGCCCATCCTCAAAATCCTAGCCAAATACGAGATTGACTTGGATACCTCAGAGCACGCTCACCTGGAGCACATTAGTCGGAAGCGGTCTGGAGAAGTTCCTGTCTAAACATCTTTGGAGTAAGAGGAGCGGACTGTCAGATCATGGTCAGCTCACTGCCCCCCAGATAGACCCAAGACCACACATTTTCAAGTGTTTAGCTCGTTTTTCATTAGGTTTCCTTTTATTCTGTAACTGCAGCCAAGATCAGCTCTGGCTAGAGGGCAATGAGTGAAAGCTCCCTTTAGGTAGAATTTATCAAGACTTCTACCCAGCTTCATCCATCATACAGGCTGGGCTCCTCTAGTACTACTGCTAGATTTCAGTTACTCGGTTAAAATTTTCCTAAAAATAAGCTTTATTTATTTCTTTGAGATAACAAAGTCTTGATTCCTCTACATTTGCTACAGTGACAAACAATAATTACACTAATAAATGCCAACTGGTCACTGTGCTTTTGGATCTCCTGTTATCTTCGTAAGTTAAATGTAGCACTATCTGACAGAACACCCAAGAAATGCAGCCCATGTGATCAGCCCATCGACTCCTGCAGCATCTCCTGGCTCTGTACACAGGGTCCTAGAACATAGTACACTGGTCTTCACCTTCATCCCGCACTGGTTGCTCCTGCATCCTCTGCAGCCAGTACAATGCTCCAGTCTCCCTTAAGCTAAAGTTTTGTTTCTTCCCTTGATCATATACCCATTATCCAGAGTTGCTTTTTTCCAGCCCTCCCATGATCTCTACTCCTCCACTTTCAGCCCAGGGTTCTCCCTTCTCAACTATTCCCCTGTACTCTTTCTTGGATGAAAGCCAGACTCCTTTTGTGGGGAAACATATATATTTGGAAAGCTTGGGAAATTGAGACACCTAGTCTGAAACCTGGTTTGGTTGCAATACTGTTTTGGAAAGATGTCAGTTCTTATTCAGCTTAATTTGTTTTCTGTTCTATAAAAACAGCTTCTTCCTCATTAGCCAAGTGCTCGTGTAATACAGTTGGTCTTCAGGACTGGGACTACAAATTATACCCAAAATGGTTAGGATGGTGCCCTGTTAATGCCAGGTTTAAGCTTAGCCTCCAATAACCAGATCCTGGCTCTCAGCAAAGGCATACATACTCCTCCCAACTCATAGTTTCCTCACCTGCTTAATGAAGCAGGAAGAAGGTTCAGGCTGACAGGGGTTTGGAAGAAGGGATATCTCTAATATATAACTTTTGCTGGCTGTCCAAAGTATTATTTCTATACCCTAACAAAAGACCTAAGTGTAGTGACTGAGAAGGCTTATCAGAGTCCAGAATTAAAGCAGCCAAATGTTCTTTGTATAGGAATTAACAATAAATATCAAGCACTGTTATCACTGAATCCTCAAAACAGCCTATGGGGGGAGGGGGTTGATAGCCCCATTTCAGAGATGAGGACACTGGAGCTCAGGGTGATTAAATAATGTAGAGAAAAATAGGAATAGCAGAAATTGCCAAAGTTGCTTTTAAAACTGTTTATTTTTTAAGTAAGCAAAAACACCAATAACAAAAGGGCAAGGGCAAAAGCAGATATACTTTTTCAAATTAGCTGTGTCAGCAGATTGTTCATTTTTATTTGTAGTTCCCAAATGTTTCTTTTTTAAAGGGTTTTCAATTTTGCATACAGGTCATTTAAGATCAATAACAACTTGATCTAGTTTAGGAACATGAAAAGGAGTACTGTTGACTAAGTTATTGTTCACTAAAACAGATCTTTTTTGGGTAGGTGGAAGATCTCTAAAGAAGCTCTCACAATGCCTTCCCCCAGCCCCCAACTCCATCCCTTCCACCAATGTCTTGTATAGATCAGTAAAGAGCAAATTTTCCAAAACAACTGAAAGAAAAATAACTCCAAGCCTTTAGCAGAGTGAGTTTCATACAGGGAATGAGGAAGACCCACCGGAAAAGGTAGCCTAACTCCTCTCCACTAGAGCAAACACCTTGTCTATGGTGCAGAAAATGCCTGTTAAGCCATTAGAGCAAACTGGCTTTCAGGAAGAGAAAGAGGTGCATTAGAAGAGAGTTCTTAGGGCTGCTTAGAACCTGCTCTCCTATGTGGAAAGCAGCAAGACAATCTTTCTGAAATAATATTGCTGAATTGTAATCCTTGGGTACAAGCAAGGAAAAGAGGCAAAGACTGCTGTTTCTTTTGATGGTGAGAAAGGGGGCCAGTCCCTTCTGAATGCCCCATGATGTGGCACTCTAGGGATACCACCCAGCCCAATTCTCAATCTGCACACTATTTGAGGCTGTAGTACCTTCATCTTTGGGCCACAATGTTAGCTGGAATTTTCTTAAACTTCTTCACAGATCAGTTACAATGCTTCCAGAGGATTATTCCGAAATATTAATATGTCCCCAAAGGAAAACCAAACACATTCTTTAAGTACTATGTACTTGTCATCTTCCTAGAGAAATGTAGGTTGCACTGTTGACTTACTCCCTAAATGGCGTGGGGGTGGGGGGGCAGGGGGGGAGTAGGGGGAGACCTCTTCTTTGCAGGGTGCAATATAAACAGCCAAGTAAACAGAAAACAAAAGTGAGAGATTTTGTTGTTGTTCGGTTGCTTGGTTTGGGGAGAGGAGATGGTGTGGAGGTTACTGTTGTGACATGTTGCCTCAAAATATAGACCACACAACAGGAACAGCTGCTTTTCCTGTTTTCCAAGACAAAGAGACAGTAGTGAGAGGGAAACCTCACCCAGAGTTGCCTGCGTGATGGTGCAAACGTCTCCAGGCTCCAGGCTATTCTACAAGCAGCAGGTATTCCTTCAGAGAAGCTGGCAGTGGAAGACCCTTCACTGCATCGGGCAGATATTGCAGTCCCAGGCTGCGGCGCACAGCATAGCGAGACAGTGTTTTTAGAGTTCCTGGAGCTGAGCACAGAACAGTCAGTTTTTCACATAGTTGCTGGTCTCTGGCCACTTCTCGTGGCATGGTGCCATTTTTCCTTAATTCAAAGTGTCCAACAGCTCTGTGGAGGAGCTCAAAGCAAGAGTCCTCTTTCTCAGTTCCAAGTCCCCTGACTAGTAGAGCCACCAGGCGGGAGATGGGTGTCTGACCTTTTAGGTTGATGACTCTGACCTCTGCACCATAATCAAGAAGGATGCTGACGCTCTCAAGATTGCCCTTCATGGCAGCCCAGCTGAGTGGGGTGTCATTGTTGTAATCCAGAGCATTGACAGAGGCCCCACTCTCTAGAAGGGCCCGCACACATTCAGCATTGTTCTTAAAGGCTGCCCAGTGAAGTGGGGTGTCTCGGTTGCCATCCAGTGCATTGGGGTTTGCACCATACTCCAGTAGGACCTCCACACAAGCCTCATCCTTCTCAGCTGCATAGTGGAGGGCTGTTCGGTTGTAACCATCCAGGGCATTCACCTGTAGAGAGGGAGGAACTACATTATGGTAGACAGACTACTGAGGATGGTAGGTGGGTAAAGAAGCTTGCATATTCATCCACTACCTTTGCTTGTAATGTTCTGAACAAGAGAGTCAATCAGCAATTCTCAGGGGTCTTTGGTGACCAAGGTAGAGATATGACAGGAGCTTAGGAAAAAAACTGTCCCCAAACAACCAACACTACTATGTGTACTGATTGGCTGGCCTGCATTATTTAGGTGATTGCTGCTGCTTTTATTTATTACTCACTAGAATCTCTACCATAGAGTAAGGTTTAAAGAAAGAGAAGATGAAGTCTAAGTCTTTACAACTACTCTGAAAGGCATTTATTGGAAAGCAACTTGAATATACTAGCCAGAGGAAAGGTTTGGATTATTTTACTTATCCCAACTCACTCTATCCGGTGGCTAAGGGCAACCAGACTAAGAAATGAGGCCAAACAAAGCTCTGCCCATGTAGCTCTGTGTGCTCTTTAGCCATACAGAGAAGCTCAAATTGTTCATCCATGTCAGCCCCTTGCAAAAATATGCTGTGGAGTCTCGAGAGAACCTGCATGAAAGCATGTGGAGGTCAGAGCCCAAATCTCCCAATGCTGGAAGAGCAGCTGCTTGCTTTAAAAAGCAGCACCCATAATTTTTTAAGGCCACAAGACTTCAAACCCCAAATTTATATATAGTATATCTTGCTCCATAAAATGCGATAAAGAAAAACAAACCTTTTGAACAGTTCAACCTTCTATTTAGCTAAACACTGTCTCCCCCTTCCCACCCCCAAGATATTTTCACTTTCATCATTGACATTAATCACTATCTTTCACTTCAGGGCCACTCATCACAAAAATCATGGGCTAGATAATGACTATAGACAACATGGCTACGTAGAGCTCAGATGCTGCGGCTGCCCCTTAGGCTAACTGACCAGTGTGTTTGGGGCCTGCACAACAACCTCATAGCATGTAAGATTCAAATTAGCGCCTCAGCATGTGCATGTTAAAAATGCTCACCAAAAGTCAAAACTAAGCCCTGGCCAGTTTGGCTCAGCGGTTAGAGCATCAGCTGGTGGACCAAAGAGTCCTGGGTTCGGTTCTTGCTAGGGGCACGTACCAAAAAAAAGAGTCAAAACTAATATTTATTTAACAAGGAGTTAGCAATTACTACATTGCCAGTTTTCTAAACACTTTATGACCTTATAAAGATACCATCAACATCCCCATTTTACAGATGTGGAAACTAAGGCAAATAAAGGTTGAGTAATTTGTTCAAGGTCACACAGCTGGAAGTGACAGCTGGAATTCAAATTCATGAAGTCTGGCTCCAGAGTCCATTCTTTTAATCACTCATTATACTATGCTGCCTCTTGCTAATGCCAACATAAATTAATCCATAGTTTTTATGTTAAGATAACACATATCAGAAAGAAGACAGAAGCAAGATATACTAAAACAGAAAATAATTAGTGGCAGAAATAGCACCAGTAGCCCAATATTGAGGAAGGGGTTGCCGAATGATATGTATCTCCCAGTGATGGTATTAGAAGGGCACCTCTGGTAGCAGGTCTCACACTGTTTAGATTTAATCAGAGTTGAGGGACCTCTGCACTTATAGCTCTTGGATAGTCAACAGGCAATAAAAGGATTAAATGGAAGGCTGGGAGAGAAAGGGGATAAAATTTCTTCTTCCTGGACAACTTAAAAAGAAAGGCAAAGGAATGAAATCCTTAGCATGATTTTATATATTTGCCATTACATTTTGCTTTAATATTGGTCTATGCCAATGTTACCATGAGCTAGAAGGTGGGTAGAGATGGGAGAAGAGAGAAATTTTAAGAACATGTGAAGCTCCAGTCTTAGTGAATCATTAATGTGACAGTGTTAAGAACATTACCTCAGCTCCTTTTTCCAGGAGTAACTCCACACAGTCAGCATCGGACACCATGCAGGCACAGTGCAAGGGCTTCAGTGTGCCATGGGTGCAGTTCACATCTGCTCCCTACAGCAGAAGGAAACTTCAGTCAGGGTGCTCAACTCTGGCTCGTCGAGCAAGACGAAACTCAGAACTGAGTCCAGGGGGAAGAGGGTTCTAAGTCTGTACTGTAAACAGACTAATGGTCCCAGTTTCTGTCCTTATTAATTAAATAACATTATGATGCTAATAGCCAAACCAAGCAAAAACACTGGAGATGAATAAAAGGGACTGTCAATTCCTTAAATCAAGTTATTTTTCTCCACAAGATAGCCTGCCAGAGGTCATTTTGACATCACTAAGGGCATAACCTGATAAGTAAAAGTGGTGGGAACCTTAAGAGGCAGGAAAGCTGGAAAAGCTTTCTATGGTCACCATGCTCTGAAAAAGTCGGGAAAGTGAGTCTATTGGACTGAAGCCAGCAGAACGCGCACACTCTTTTTGCCATTCAACAGATGACCATCACTAACAGTAAGGTCATCTTTACATCATTTTTTTGTTTACAAACATTTTCAAAGTAGCCTCTTAGTCTCAGCATTCTGTGCCATCTAGCCCCTGCTGGTACTTATTTTTCAAATCTGATCAAGGAGTTGGAGATACCACAGTCAGACCAAAGTCACTGAATGACTCAGCAGCAGAGCTAGAATTAGAACCTGACAAAATTTCTACTGCGGAGTCTTCTGATACCATTTTTGCTGAGAACAAGCTAACATTGTTTGACTTTTTCTTCTCACCACTATGGCACACAACTCTGAAGCAGCTACAGAGCTCTGGGCTGTAAATAAGGATTCTAAAGTTGTTAAAAAGAATATACAGAAGTAACCATTTGGATGTATTTTCTAGTGATCAAAAAATTACCCTGTAACTTCTCTTAAACAGGAATAATACACAGAAATAGGTATCAGGATACAACAGTTATGTAACAGAATTACTGAACAGTAGTGGTTAAATGTCAGATATTAAAGTGTTTTCTTAAGTCAAAAATTACCATACATGTTAGGGGTTGATACTATTCTTTATAGAACTAGAAGTGGTAGCTGTTGTTATGATAGAAAGCAAGTGACATTTCTCTATGGATTCATTATAAACCACAAGGATTTGAAAATCACTTCTGCTTTCCTGGTCTCCTTCCTCCCCAGTACATGTGTAGAAGACTCTGAGCTTGCTGGATCCCACAGGGACCATATCCAGATAAAGATTTCACAAAGAACCTGAGACCATGGTCATCTAGAACACATTTCCTGAAGGAAAATATCAGATGCTCAAAGTGAAAAGCAGAGGGGAAAAGAAGCAAACAATAAGGAACATATATTTCAGTGGTCAAGTTAATACATTTAAGAATATTGCAAACACTCTTTGTGATCTTGAACTGAGTCAAAGCTGCAAATCTGTAATTTATTAGAATTCTCCAGGAACCTTCCCACTTCACCTCCCCAAAGACTGTTGTGTCAATAACAGCACACTCACCCCTCTGATGAGGTCCTCTACATTATCATGTGGGAAGGAACGAATGGCAGCGATTGTTCGGATTAAGCGCTCTGAGAGAGAGTATTTGCTCTGAATGCTCTGCATAATATACCACATACTGGAACTCATCAAGGCTCAGGGTATGTTCACATGCTCCAAACTGCCTGAAACAAAGAAGTTTTAGGCATACAAAATATCACTGAGCACACCTGTCCTTAGGGGTAGGAGTCCTCTGAGGCCTTCCCAACACTAAAAGCAGATTTTAAAGAAATGAATGATTAATATCATTTTCTCTTAATCATAAGGAAAAAAATTAATAATAGTAGTTTATGGAGCTGGGTAAACTTGGACACAAATGACCTGACCCTTAGAACCTCAGTCTACTCACTGACCTACACTAGCACAAGATCTCCCCAGGAGGCCTAAGAACCCCAAGGAGCTCCATGTGGTGGTTTAAAAACAAGTGTACACAAGAAGGTGATTTTTTAAAGGCTGAAGATGCCACAAAATATTTTTTCCTCCTCTGAATTTTGTGGTCTTTATAATCAGCACCACCTTTAGATTATTTGTTGTACTTGGACTTGCAGTAGAGTTATATTCCTATGGCTTCTCCATCTAAATTGCAATCATTTGGAAGGCGAGGTCCTTGTCTTCCACTATTTTTTTATCCTCACCCGAGGACATTTTTCCATTTTTTGTACAGATAGAGTGGGAGGGAGAGAGAGGAAGAGATAGAGAGAAACATCGATGTGAAAGGGACACATCGAGTGGCTGCCACCGCACGACCAACCAGGGCCGGGGACAAACTGCAACCGAAGTACATGCCCTTAGCGGGAACCGAACCCGGGTCTCTCAGGACCACAGGCCGACGCTCTAACTGCTGAGCCAAACCGGCCAGGGCCCTTGTCTTCCACTTTTTTTTCCCCCTTGTCCACACAGTCTCACAGAAAGAAGGTATTTCATAATTACTGGTTTATTGATTGACTAAAGGGCATAGAAGTGATTGTTACCTGTGAGAAGAGAGGAAAAAGGCTAAGGAACAAATACATTTTGTTAATGACAAAGCATCTGTGAAACTGTTAAACTATTTTCATCAAAGAAAAAATGGGAAATATTTGAGGTAATATTCTAAAATAAGAAAGAAACGCCCAGCTGAGTGGCTCAGTGGTTGAGCATCAACCCATGCACCAAGAGGTTACCGGTTCAATTCCCTATCAAGGCACATGCCCAGGTTGTGAGCCAAATCCCCAGTGGGGAACATGCAGGAGGCGGCCATTCGATGTTCTCTTTCATCAGTGTTTCTATTTCTCTCCCTTTCCCTTCCTCTCTTTTTAAAATCATTAAAGAAAAAAAATTTAAAATAAAGAAAGAAAGAAACGATTGGCCGGTGTGGCTCAATGGATGAACGTCGACCCATGCACCAAGAGGTCGCCAGTTTGATTCCCAATCAGGGCACATGCCCAAGTTGTGGGCCAAATCCCCAGTAGGGAGCATGCAGGACTCTCTCCCTCTCCCTTCCTCTCTCTAAAATCAATAAAGTAAAAAATAATAATAATAATAAATAAACTAAGAAAAAAATGCAAAAGTACAATTCTAGAGTCATCTATATAATATTAGAAAAAATGTCAAAGTTCACACCAATGACACATGAATTTATAGGAAAAGAAGCAGATTTAAGTGCCAAATGAATTAAAAATTTTAGTAACTCGCCATTTGTGACAATAGAAATAGATTTGGCCAAATATATGTTGAAACCACAAGACAGAGAGTTCTAGGATGAAAGAAGAAAATAATACAATATACTTAAAATCAACTATGGAAAAAGTTTTGGCTGTATAACAGCCATATACTAGTTGGGAAACATTAAAAATTACAGCAAACAAGGTGGAACATTGCAATGAAAAGGCATATATCAAGAATTGTAGAGAAAATACAGTATGCAATGTCATAACTATGTGTAACTGTTTAGAATCCTTGTTCTTATTAAATTATAAGTTCCTTGGAGGTAAATATAGTGTTATTTTTAGTAGTGCCTGGCACATGGCAGGTACTCAATAAACATTTGTTGAACCAATGAAAAATTTATTACTTTGGATCTTTAAAAATTCAAGACTTGCCCAGCCAGTGTGGCTCACTGGTTGAGTTTCGGCCCATCTACCAAGAGGTCGCCGGTTCAATTCCCAGTCAGGGCACATGCTCAGGTTGTGGACCCAATCCCTAGTGGGGGGCATGCAGGAGGGGCCCATCAATGTTCTTTGTCATCGATGATTCTCTCTCTCTCTCTCTCTCTCTCTCTCTCTCTCTCTCCCCCTCTCCCTTTCTCTCTCTCTCAAATCAATTTTTAAAAATATAAAAATAAATAAAATAATAAAAATGCTTGCAAGATTTGTAATTAAACATGTTATGCATATGATGATTACTAAAGGAAAAAAACCCTAAAATTATCTTGGTCATTTCATACTATGTAATTTTTTATTTTTATAATAGAGTATCCCCTTATACATTATGCAACATACTATGAATTCTAATAGTTTCTGTTTTGCTAATCACTAGCTATTAGTCTGTTTAAAATATATACAGTATTAATTAATAGAATGCAAGTTAAAATTATTCAATTCATAGGTATCAATGATTCAAATTGGGAATTCTTCTCCCCTATGTTATTATGAATGTTTTATATGTCTATGAAATTTTCTAGATAGTTCAGAATTGGCATAATTTCTCCAACAACCACTAAACTCCTCAGAGACAAGGGTCTGTATCTTATACTTCGTTGTTGCAAGGAAAAAAGAACAGGCAGAGGTGCATTTGAGTCAGAGAGTCCAAGAATGGGGGTGGAAGACAGGGCATCTAGAGTGGAAGGCTTAGAATAAAGCGAGGTTCTGTTAACCAATTCTAGACCATGATAAACTGAAGATGCTAAATAAACCCTGCAATCATTTTAGGGGCGCTACTGGAACTCCTAACAACTCCTAACTCAGACCATGACCAGTGGTCCTCTGCTGCTGCCTCCAAGTTCCTGGAGAAGAGTAAAACTCCCAGGCACATTGACTACGGTTCACTGTCAGGAAAGGTCAAGGAAATCTAAATCGACCTATCTCTGGTCAGCAACCCTGCACGGTTTGACCCCCAAGTGACCCCATTTCTCTGCTGGAACTGAAAGTCCTCTCTCCCCGTTTTCTTTCACTTCGGATCCAGAGAAAACACCAAGGGGTTTTTATTGTGAAGCTAGAAACAAAGTGGGAGAGAGGCGACATTCAACAGCTCTGGTGCTAGTGAGGCCCCGGCTTGCGGCTTTCGCCGCGGCCGGGAAGACCCTTGGCCCAACCAGCAGCACCCCAAGCCCACCGCACCTCCTGGGGGAGGGCTCGCGGCAGCTTTGTCTCGCCGAGACTAGGAGGCGGAGGGTAAGGGCACGAAATGCGAAGACCTCAGACGTTACCTTCCGCGTGTGCTCCCCCAAAACCGTAGCAATCCCGGTAGGGATTGGGAGAGTCGCGCAGTCTGCGCCGCGGGAACCCCAAAGGCGGACCAACCCCCGCCCTCGGATCTCCCAAAGGCCGGGGCGATGTCTCAGGCTCGAGGGCTCGCGGACCCGAGCGGGGAGTGGAGGAAGCGTTACTGGGCATGGTGCCCCGGGTGAGGGAACCTGGATGCAGGCATTCCTGCAGCGAGGGTCGCACTCACCGAACCGTGGGGTTGAGCTGGGTCGTGAGAGCCGCTGTCAAGGAGTGACCCGGAAGCAGAAGTTGTCACCGGCGGGCGCCTCTGTTTACAGGACTTAAAGAGCTACTAGGATGGGCGCGTGCGCACTGACCAGTGTCCGTAGGAGGGACGAGCTTGCGCAGACTCGTGAAGCAGCCTTGATCCTACCCAGGCCTAGTTAACGGGTCATTTTTACTGCTTGTCCAGAGGCTTTGCGCGCAGGCGCAATGTGGCGCTTTCGCCGCTGCAGCGGGGCTCTGGTCTGCCCCGGTGGGGACGAAGCTCACTCGCACGGCCGTCGGGCCGACTCTGTGGGGCCGCACCCGCCTAGATCAGGCCTGCAGTGGGCCCATCCATACCCCTCCCCTGCCTCCCAATGTCTCCATCTGAGATCCAGGCTGGGTACCTCGTTTCCAGATTATTCCAAGTCTCTACACTTGTTCTGTTGTTTAAGAGACTGAACTGTTCGTTAGAAGTGCCTTTGGCAAATAAAAGAGATTTCCAGAATTATTCATAATATTGGAACATATTTATGCTCCCCAGAACCCTCCTGGATATTGTCAGCCCTCACTCAGAAGGAGCTATACCAAAGATAAACCACCACTTAAAAGGTGCAGTAGCTCAAATGTTGAGGACTGAAAAAGAGGCACGTGCTGACAATAACCAGTCCCACCAAGAGAGATGCTGACACCTCTCTGGCGTACGTTCCATATAAAGCATAAACATTTCGAAGCCAATGGCACATAGTGATGCATATAAATAGTGAAGCAGCCCACACAGATGTATCTGGCAGCCTTTTTAACCAAGAGTGCCCCAGCACCCACTTTCCAATGGTTAAACAGCATTTAACCAATTTGAAAGCAAAGCAGGTCTTGACAGTTCATGTACATCAGTGAGGGGGTGGCGAACTGGAAAAGCTCATGCCCTGAGTGTGCCTCCTCTGAATTCCAAATGCAAAGGATTTTTGCCATGCAGGAATGTGTCCCCACCTCCCACCACTCTACTATGATAAGATCGTCTAATCTTTCAAAAGGAGCTGAAATCCAGATTTTTAAAAAGTGAATTCTCCCGAATTGCAAATGTTTGCAACTTTTTTTTATTTTTAAGAATCATTTTTAAAAGCAGGCAGCATTCAGCCTGCAAGCCACCAATTCCAGACTCTGGATTAGACTCCTTGACAGCTCTGTGGGGGAGTAGTTTAGGGGCAGCCCTTTGATTAGGAGGGAGTCTGGAGACTTGATTTGAAGCTGTAGCTACATATTAACTACATTGTTTTTAATTAATAGATTTACTTGGGAAAGTTTGAAGGGACCTGAATGCTATTATGTGGAAACTGGAGTTTCCCATCCACCAAACGACTCTAAGGTATTTGATCAAATCAGTGAACTGAAAATGGTTTGATTCTGTGCCCATCGCTTCTAAACCAGAAAAGTATATTAAGGCGTTAAAGAATGTTAAACCTCCAAACACAGGGACATGCTGATCCCAAATGGAGGAGTTATCTGTGAAACTTAGTCTTTCCTGGCCACCAGCAGGGGCAATCATAAGAAAAATCAAGCCACCGACATGTCTTATCCAGACCTAACCTCGTTTCAGTCAGTACCTCTCAAATTCCCAGAACCGTGTGACTCACATTAATAGTCCAGTGGTATATTCTCCCCTGGACCCTTTGGATTCTACTTGGCTGGGAAATTAATGAGGTGAGAGGCAGAGATGTAGTAAATACTGTGGGCTCAGGCCCGCTGTCTCCCTCTCTCCAGCTCAAGGTGATGCTCTGATTGGCATCACCTATACCTTTCTCAAAGTGGAGCACAGCTTCACACAACTGACCTATTGAAGGGTTGTTGACTACCTCTCTGGCTTTCATTTTATTAAGTCTAGCTCTACTGGGTTTACTGCTCTGCCACAGAGAACCCACTGCACAAAAGAAGGAGGTCCCCACCTGTACACAACATGATAAAGTCAAAAGGACTCAGCCAAAGGAAGTACTGCATCTGAAGAGTGGCATCTGTCCCTTCTCTGAGGTCCCATGCCTTGGCAGCTCTTGTTCAATGTCATGTGCCAACCTATGTCATGGTAGAAAGAAAAAACATAATACAGAAACCTAGTTTTTGTCCTGGTTCTGAGATTGGGGGGCAACGGGGGCATCGGTATTCTCATTTGTAAAGTGAGAGCATGGGCTGAAGTAATCTTCAAATATCCTTCTATTTCTATAAATGCTGAATCTACCTAATTCCTAAGCAAAAATTCCTGCTTCCAAAATTTTTACTCCCTAGTTTAAATGAGAACAGTTTTATGGCTATTACTAATATATTAATGGGACCTGTGAAGGCTTAATTATAAGATGACCAAGTTTATGTATTTTCTGTTACATTTTTGCTTCTTCTGGCTCCTTGTTTCTAAAAGAGAGTAAAGACACTGGTGATTCCCAGCTTCAATTTTTTTTTTTTTTATCCCCAAGGACATTTTTCCATTTTTTGTTCAGATAGAGTGGGAGGGAGAAAGAGAGAGAGAGAAACATCGACGTGAAAGGGACACATCAAGTGGTTGCCACCTGCACAACCCAACCAGGGCTGGGGACAAACTGCAACCGAAGTACATGCCCTTAGCGGGAACCAAACCCGGGTCTCTCTGGACTGCAGGCCGACGTTCTAACCGCTGAGCCAAACCGGCCAGGGCCCAGCTTCAAATTTTAAATATTATTTTAAAAATAAGATGTTTAAGCATACAAAAAACAAAACAAAACACTGAAAAGAGTAGTATGATAAATTCATTATATCCATCACCTATGTTTAACGCATCAACATTTTGCTAAATATTTTAAATCTAATTTTTTGTTTCTCTGTTGTTTTGTCCAGCTTTAGGGTTTTGAAATGAACTACTCAAACAATGTCCACAGTTCCCACACCTTTGGGGGAAATTTTTTAATGAGGTTTGATTTGACATCACATGACTTTTCTAAAAACCTAAGCTATCTTATGTTTATTTATCTATCTCTTCCTTAAAAAGATGGAAATGGAATCCCCCCCACCCTCATGTTGTTTCATCTCTTGGCTGATAAATGCTAGAGTATATAAATTCTGGGAAACTCCCAGCTTGTTATAAATATAGAATGATTAGTTTCCCAGGGAGTAATAAAAATAGGCTACCCATGCAAATTACTTTATAGTGTTTCTGACAATCCACTGGGCAACCAAAGAAGATTTCAGATCCATTCATTCATCCATTAATCAACAGTGCAGGGAAGATAAAGATGGAAAGACATTCCCTTTCTATCAAGGGCTGGGAGACATTTTTGTAAATGGTTAAAGATGACTAATTTGCAATTAAAGATGATTATTTCAATGACGTTTTTATGTACAAAGTCAATGTTGAAGAACAGTTCTACTTCATAGTGAGATCAAAATAGTGTAGAAAGGAAGGGTCTGTGAAGATGTTTCCTGGGGAGAAATTTGCTTGTGCCATTGAGTCCCCACTCCTCTCACACCCAGAGGGAGAGGCAGTACTTGTGCTGTTCCTTCTCCTCAAGTCTAAAGAGGGGCTTCTGTGGGACTAGAGAGCTTGGAAATTGTTCCCGATAGTTGTAAAACAGAACTGCATTGACTCTTACCTGTAAACTTAAAGAGGGCAGTAGCCACAAAGCAGAGGTGGCTACATCGGGATCCACGAATACTCCCAGATTTGGTAGGGATGACAAATGACTGAATATTTCCCTGGACCTGATTTGGGTCACATAGAAGACAGTTAGCATGGGGTTGCCTTTGGTCTATTCAAAAGGGCTGTCTGGAGGCATGGAGGGACCCAGTGACCAGAAGTTAGAGAGAAACACAGAACTAGAACCTATAGAGGTTGTCACAAGCAACCATCTGTGTCTGCCTAGGACAAAGGAACTCAAGCAAGAGGTCTCTGATGATAGTAATCTCCAAAGAACCTTTTCAGAGGCAACTTTAACCACCTGCCAGACCCAGGGAGTATAGACCCTATCAAAACAGAACTGCCCTGTCCTCTCAGCTGTCCAGCCTCCCTACACTTTTACACAGCAGATCAAATAGCAGTTAGCTAGTGGAGGTGAAGGTAAGCTGGGGAGAAAGTCAGAGGCACGCAGCCACCAGCCACAGGAGGCCTTATGCAGGAGAGGAGGAGAAGGAGAAGTCTTAGACTAGTACTTTAGAATGAAGACTGAAGTATTTGGTTACCATCTTGGACTGGAAGCATTCTATTTACTAAATCAAGACTCTCTTTTTTTACTTAAAGCAACTGTCAATTATAGAAAAATGAACTAAAAAGTCAGGGAATTTGCTCAAATTTCCATTCAGGGGCAGAGGAAGATTATCACCTCCCAGTAACTATTTTTAAAAGATAGTAAAAGCCAAAAAGTAAAGGTATATTTTGATCACATCCCATGAATCTTGCATTTAACATTCCAACTTTGTCTTTATATATTTTAGTTTATTTCTGTTCATATTTTGATTATAAGTGCTTCCATAAGTTGTTTTTTATCTACATTTTTAATGTGTTGTATCTCTCGTAGACTTTTTTCATTATTTTTTTTTCTCTCCCCTGCTCATTCCATTCTGTTCTCAAGAAGGGTTCATTAGATGGTGTTGATTGACAGTACAATTAGTGTTCCTATTTTCAGACCTTGTCGTAAAACTTGAACTAGAAATCTGGTAATGATGTTTTGTTTGTAATTATTGCTGCTATCGCTGTTCAACCTGTGTTATACCCAGTCTCTGCAATTAGATGCCATCGAGCTGCCCAGGTTACAGATCTGGGTGCTTGCTCTTTGAGCATTCTGGCTACCAATTGGCCACGGGCCTTTTTGGGGTGAAAAACTCCTTTCTTCACCTGCTGACTCCAAACCCTTTCCTGATTTTGAGTGCAATCCTCTGGAATGACAATGTGCTGGAGGAGGGGAATTCTGCCCTGCAGCCTCTTGGAGTGGTCACAGGAAGCCTTTCATAACAGTTTCCTGGGTTCTGGCCAGAGCTCATTAATTAGTCTTCTGTCTACAAAGGCTTCATCCCTCTTCAGGGGCCACTTTGACTAATGTAATGGCAAAATTTTCCTGACGTCCTTCCTAAAGAAAGTAAGAAGAAGCGATTCTTCCAAAGAAGTTCTTCTCCCATCATCAAAGAAAAAGAAAAGAACCAAAAGCAGTTAAAGATATTATTAGAGCAAAGGAGAGAGAGGGGACTCAATCAAAATGAACAAAGTTAGGTGAAAAATAAGATCCAAATGCCAGACTAGTTGAGAAAAATAAGCTTTCTTTAATTAATATAATAGTGTATTTCCTCTTTACTTTGAACTTTCTCATTTTTTAGGGCTATTGCTTACAGCATATTCCTTATTTTAGAAACAATGTAGTATTATGTGAACACCATCAGGATCAAGTGGCCATTTCTGATCTTAGCTCTAGTCACTTTACCTAAGCAAATTACAGTATCTAAGTTTTTGTTTATTGATTGTACAACTGGATGAAAGTAACAACACATACCCCAAGGGTTAATTTTACAAAACATAGATCAATCACATTTGTGGAGGGTAATTTTGCATACTATATAAATGCTGGTTCTTACCTATGTCATCTTTGTATTATTTTATATTTGTTCAAGGAGGTTACCAAATATCTAGTCTTCCCAGTTACACTGTAAGCGCCTCTGAGAACTTAGATTTCCTGCACATACCCCCCACCACAGCTCTGTTCCAAACTCACTCTAGGTATTGAATAAATGCAAACTGAATTGAACTGAGGTGAACTTCCCTCCCGAAGACAGGGAAATTGGAATGTCTCTATGTACTGGTTCTGAGAAAGAACTCCAAGGCGCTTATAAAAGGAAAATCAAAAAGATTTGCAAATAGAGCAAAAGAAAAGAAAAATCAAGTTCAAAGAAATATAATGTCAGCCTTATGAGATTTTTTTATACACTTAAACTTTGTCCTAGAGAAAGTAATTCAGCCAAGAAAAGAACAGTATTAATGTGCAACAGGGGTAGTCTCCCAAGATGTGTCGTAGGATTAAACAAGGACTTCTTTCAGAAACTGCTCAGAGGCAGACATGCTCTCAGTATTCAAACTTCATTCTTTCTTCTTCCCTTTAACCTTCCCCAAGGCTCAGGGAAACTTATGGAACACTGTTTTATGGTTTTAAATTAGCTTTTTATCAATAGTTTATTATTTTTTTGGCCCTACAAGTTCACCTATATTTTTTACTATTCAAATAATTTTGAAAGATTTTGAGACTTCATGAAGACTGTCTGAGGAATTTTGAAAAAAAAAAAAATTACAGTAAAGATGCAAATAACAATGTTAATGATAGTATTTAAATTACATATTCATGGTACTATTTTTCCAGGAATGTGGGCAATTATAGCTAAATTTCCTAGCAAATCAAGACTGAGTAGACAAACTCTAGCAGGAGAGATTTTAAGATTGTTCAAGGGAGGAAAATTAACAGAAAAAATGCCACTCGCCTGGTACCAGTGGTGGTACAGACTGATGTGGAGAATTCTAGGAGCAAGAATATGATTCAATTCTCTGAATCATTTTCAGGGGCTTGAGAATCAAGTTATGGTTGATCTCAGAATCTTGGTTGCTTGAGTCCCATATTTCTAGTAGGAGTGTGTCTCCCCCTGGAGGGGACATAGAGCATTTGTTCCTTCAGGCTTCTTGCTCAGAGTTCAATAGTAATTCATTCTTTGTTCATTATTCATTCTTTCATTCAACAAATACTTATTAAATCCTATTACTGTGTTGTTCATCATGATAGATGCTGAATATCCAGCTGAAAATAAGATCAACATAGTCCTTGCCTCCAGGGAAATTGTAGTTTACTGTGAGACAACCACTAGCCAAAGAATCATCTGAATGCCTAAAAAATCACAATAGTGATAAGTTTGGAGGGCAATATGGCCGTTTAGTAGAGTACCTCAATCATACTAGGAGGTCAATAAAAACTTTATTGAACACAGACGTGGAAGATGAATAGGCATAACTAGATTAAAAGTATGGAGGAGGTGCAGCGAGAGGGCTTGCCAGCAAACGAAAAAGAATATCGAAAGACTTCAAGAGGAAAAGAGGTTAGGATGCTGGAAAAAGAGAAAAAGGCCAGAATAAGGAGGTGGGGATTAAAATTGAGGCTGGAAAGGTAAGGATGCTCCAGATCAGGCAGGGTCTTTGGGGACATGTTGAGGATTCTAAACTTTATCCAAAAAGACTAGGAAGCTATTGGCAGGTTTTATAATAACGCCTGTGTTTTAATTATTTTTTTATTTTTTATCCTCACCCGAGGACATTTTCTCATTTTTTTTTGTTCAGGTAGAGTGGGAGGGAGAGAGAGGAACAGAGAGAGAGAGAGAAACATCGATGTGACAGGAACACATCGAGTGGCTGCCACTGCACGACCGACCAGGGCCGGGGACAAACTGCAACCGAGGTACACGCCCTTAACGGGAACCCAGGTCTCTCAGGACCGCAGGCCGACGCTCTAACCGCTGAGCCAAACCGGCCAGGGCATAACGCCTGTGTTTCAAAGGACCACTTTGATTTTCCGATAAAGAATGTATTATAGAAGGGGAGGAGCAAGGATTAAAACAGAGAGAAGAGAAGTTAGGTGATCTAGGCAAGAAATAATGGGAGCTTGGGTGAGGGTAGTGGCCATAGAAAGGGAGAGAAGAGGGTGAATTTGAAATACTTTAAGGTAATAATTGATAAAACTTGGTGATTTATTACAAACTGAAAATGAAGAGGCACAGATTGCCAAGAATGATTCCTAGATTTTTGCTGTGAGCTCCTGGATGAACTGAGGAGCCATTTACAATGATAAGAACTGGAGAAGAAATGTGGGGGGGGGGGGCAGGGGAGAAGGAATCTCATCAAAGTTCCGTTTATCAAATATTTATTGAGGCTACTACTATATGCAGGCACTGTATCTGGCGCTAGACACTGGAAGTTAAAAAGTGGAGGCAGTGCAGGATTCCTGTCTGCAAAAAACTTTTGACTAACAGAGTTATCCTTGAGTAACTCTTGATACCATTAATGGATTATGTCAATATAATGCATCTATGCAAGAATGAACAATGTCCAGAAGGAGCCCAGAAAAGAGGCATCTTCACACAACCTGGGGGTTCAGAGAACTTTGAGAGGAGATGATAACTGAACAAAATCTATGAATTAGAGGGAGTAAATATGATAACAAAAGTTGGGAGGGGTTTATGCACACACACACACACACACACACATACACACACACCAGGAAAAAGAAGGAATAGCTTATTTAGACCAGCCATTCTGTTGAAAAAATTAAAATACTGGCTAGATTTTTTTTAAATCTCCTTAAAAGTATCCAAGATAGTTTCAAATGGGATTCTTTAAAGACCTATAATCCCAACTCTATTCCAAAGCACAGAAAAATGATAACTTCAAAAATTCTTTGATAAAATAATATAACATTGAAACTAAAATTTGAGAGTGCACAAAAAGAGAAAACTACATGCCAATTTCATTCATTCATATCAATGCAAAAATCCTAAATAAAATATTATCAAATAGAATCAAACAGCCTTATATGTCATGACCAAGTGGAAGTTGTTTCAGAAATGCAAAGATGGTTCTATGTTAGGAAATATATTAATATATTTAATAATTATATATTTTAAAAAGGCCTTGAAATTACCTCCATAGTGCTGGATAAAGTTCAAGGTGTACTATATATATATAT